AAGGAGCTGGAGGGAGACTTTTGCCAAGGACTGGATCCTGTTGTCTTCTTGTTTCCAGGATTGGGCTCTATGTAGCACGTGGAGGAACTGCTGGGACAGGGCCTCTTCAGACCCGCAAGGGGCAGGTGGAGGAAAAGAAGAAGAAGGGAGAAGTGAGGAGGGAGGAAGAGCCTAACAGAACAAGTAACGTGGGCGGTGGCTCCTGGGAGTGCCTGTGTGTGCAGGTTTTGTTTTATCTATTAATCTGTCTTTTATCTCGGCCCAGAAATATTCTTACTTTAACCCTTCTGATCTCTTCCCCATGCCACTGCCAGAGAGTGAGCAAGCTGTTTTATGGTACTTAGCTGCCTACAATCATTAACCAATAACAGATTGTAACAGTGACCAGGGCCGAGTTCATGATACGGGGAGAGGGCCACACGTTCTTGTGATCACTCCATGTGCGTCTGAGCTTGTTCAACACCCTGGGCTGTTCCTGGAGTCCAATGAGAAATGGCTCAGGCATTTACGGGGAGAAGGACCCAGGTATGGAAGGCATTTTCAGACTTCCCTCAAAACAGCCGTTGCCTCCTCCAGGGGAGCTGGGGCTGAAGGTACCCAGGTCCCAGTATTGCTGCCTCCAAAGAGCCAGGCAGGGGCTGCTGTCTCTCTGGCTGGCCTCATCCCTACAAGGCATGACAGATGTCAGACAAATCCAGAGGATAAAAAGAGGCCCCTGCTGTGGCAAGGGCATGGCTTGATCCTCCCTCTCTTGGACTCGATATTTCCCTGGCCAAGACGAGCTGGACCAGAGCCAGTATTCTGAAGAATAAACCATGCTTCTGGAAGTCTCATTTCTTGAATAGTGAATTAAGACTTTCAAGCCACCTGTCAAAAAGCGTCTTGTCTTTGGCTTCATTGGTGGAAGCATGAAGCCTTTCTTGCTGGCAGTGTTTGAAGGGAAGACTGTCAGGTGACTGTCATAAGACCGGCCGAGCACTCCCCGATGCTCCCAGGCTGTTCAGGAAAATTTCTGCTTTTCATGGCTCCACCTATAAGGCATTCTCTCTCTTTTTTTTTTCTTTTTTTTTTTAATTCTTGTCTAATATTTGAGAAGTCAGGCCCAGAAGATGAAAGCACAGAAACGTCGAGCCTTTAATTGAGCAGTGGGGAGGTGCACAGGAAGGAGAAGAGGGAAGGAACTAAAAGCAGCTGTGTAGGCACCTTTCTGAAACAAAAAAAGTAATTGCCACCCTGCTACCTCCCTTCTCAAAAGCAGACAGTTTTTTCCACAAGCCATGGAAAAGGCAAGGAAACCTCAGTTTTAGGGTCTCAGGAAATGTGAGTATGTCTCAGTGTCTCTCCCTGAATCTGAAACTTGACAGCTTTCTCTTTCCTTCCTTAGCCTAGGTGAGAAGACCTACCTACACGAGTAGTGTGAAAGATGCTGGCGTTACAAGCACACGGACACTGGAAAGACTGTGGCTCATCAGCAAAGGGACGAGATGCTTTTCCTGATGCTAAAAGCCACTTAAAGATACTAAATAAAGACTGCGGCAACCAGCCTTGGCCTTGCTGTGTGTGAGCGGCAAGAACTGGGAAGGGAAGAGCTGCCAGTAAGCCCCTCTGTTCTTTCCCAGTTATGGTCAGGAATACTGTCATACCACTGGGATAGTATTTGGCGGGGCATGACAATTTTGCAGGGCTAGGGGAGGCCTCCCTGGACTCTGTGACACAGAGAGACCCCAGGAGGGCCTTCGGCTGGTGGCAGTGCTTCCTTAGCAGTGCCCAGCAGAAGATGCAGTGATGCAGTGGGGCAGCTATGTGTGGGTTCAGGGGTGCCCTGGTCTCCAACTCGGCTCCCCCCTGTCCATCCCTTGTCTCCTGTCCCCTTGGAGAGCAGCCCAGGCTGCAGAGGGGAGGGCGTCTGTTGTTCCTATGGAGCTGAGGGAGGTTTTGGGGGTTGTTTCCAAGGGGGTGGGGCCCAGGACAGTGCCAGGCTGTGTGGCCCATGCATCAGCTTGAGTCAGATGAGACTCCCCAAACACTGGGAACTGTCGAAGCAGGAAAGGGTAGTGCTGCCCAGGGGTGCACCTCTCCCAGGGCAACGCACACACTTCTCATCACATCCAGAGAGCCACGGGCAAAGTGTGGCTGTTGTGTGTGAGAGATGATCACGCATACAGCTGCCACCATGGAAGCGGGGCTCTGTGCTTCCCGCAGGCACTCCCACTAGGAATGGGACTCTCTGCTTCTGAGGTGGCCCAGGTAGCTTCTCCCGAGGCAGCTGAGCTGGGAGCCAGACAGTATGTTAAGCAAGCGGCAATATGCAGTGCTGATGGACTGGGACGGGCTGCAGCCATAGTCTGTCTCTCTCCTTGGAGTACTTGGAGTACTGACTGCCCAGCTTGGACTCTGTTTTATTCCTTACTGATATGCTCCCACAGAGAAAAAGCAGCGGCAAGTAAAAAACTACTTGGATTCATTTACTTTTATCATTCTGCAAGCCTGGAGGTGCATTTATACCAGCAATGATATGAACCATGGGAACTGATGGAAAAAATGTGAAAACAGTTCTCACAAAAACTTATACATCTTGTGTTTGCATGGCTGCGGGGGGCCACCTGTAATCATCAATAACAAACGAATCGTAATCAGGACTGTAAACGAGCTGTTTCACAAAGGCTTCCTTGTCTGCTGGCTCGGGGTACCAAGAAGCAAGACCATGCTTGTAGGCCCAGTCAACAATCTGCAAAAAGATAAGCAAAATGAGCTGAGGAAATAAAGTTGGCACGTTACGAAATTGAAACCAACTGCAGTTTGGCCCTGGCTGTATTTTCCCTCCCTCTCTCCCCCCTCAAAATTGTGTCCTTTTTTGCTTTTTTCTCTTTGTGCAATTCCCTGAGTCAGCTGCACTTCATCCCTTGGGTGAGGGAATGCAAGCTGCCTGCAATTACTGGCTGCTTACAAATGCACACCCCTGCACTGGCAAAATGGTTGGAGTGTGCAACTAAAGAAGGAGAGCAGCCCTTTAACCACCTCCGCTCACACCCTTTAGCTCCTCAGCTACACCGTGCATCTGTCAGTAACTCCTAGCAGGCCAATGTGATTCCCAGTGGGCGTCCCCTGAACGGGAATTACAAATTTGATGTATACAGGGCACCAATTCCACAATTGGACAACAAGCCCAGATCTGGAATAGTATTTAGGTACTTAGGCCCCTATCAAATACAGGAGGAGAGGATCCAAAATAGCAATTTGCAACCAAAAATCTTTTGGCAACTTGCAACATGTTTGAATTTGATCCTAAACCTGATTTCTTCAAGTGCTGAGCACTCACAGCTCCAAGCAATAAAGCAGAGCTTTGTGAGCTGTGAGTCACCCAGAATCAGGAGGTATTTTTCACAGTTGGGTTTTAATGATAGGAGAAATCAAAGCAGCAATTCTGGCTGGAAGGATTCCTAAGAATCATTGCTTTAGGCTGTAGAAAAGGTTGAATTAAAAAACCACAACGCAAGAAGGATGCCAAGGCAATTCCTGTCCTCCCTACCACGGAAAGTGGAAATAAATGAGTACTCACTTTCACAGCGATTTTGAGAGACACCTTTCTGATGCTGTCCAAGGGGGGATAGAGTCTTCCTTCTGCAAGATTCTGCTCTGTCACCTCGGCAGCAATAGACTAGAAAGAACAGAAAGGTAGTTTACAGAGACGGTCTCAAGCACGTACCGCATTCACTAGCATTACATGAGACCTGGCTGAAATCTCAGCAGCGGCGGAGCTGGGACTAGCTCTCAATGGGAACTGAACTATTCAAAATATATGCGTGTATACGTTTCATTACAGACCTAAAACTGGAACCAGAATGATGGAAGTGCTGTGCTAGGGCATCAGTTGTGGAGAATGAGGAGAACTCTGTCATGGCTCCTGCACCTTTGTAGGTGCAGGTGCGATGGAAGCTTGAGCTTTCCCTGATACTGGGAAAGGCCGCGGCTTTTTGCTGAGGCTGTGCCATTTCCACTCAACGCATTGCCCCAGGCCAGGTTCTCGAAAACACCTGAACTAGGTGCACATGTCTTTTATCATCTTTTTAAAAGCATTAGTTAAATGCCAGTTGGAAACCTCTGCTGTGATGAGGAAGATATCGTCAGAGATGTGCCGGACTCCGCAGGCGATGACTCCCAGTGCCACTCCTGGGAAGACGTAGGCGTTGTTTCCTTGGCCAGGGAAGAAGGTCTGTCCATTGGGCAGGGTTACCTTTGAGAATGGACTCCCACTTGCAAATATTCCCCGTCCCTGGTAAGAGAGAGAGAGAAAGAGGCATCCAAATTCAGAAGAGACATCTTATATTTCTGCTGCTTGCCATGATCTGCGCTCAGGGGACTCTGGTGATCAAGTGGACTAATCTCCAGCCAGTCAGTGAGAGGCATCTCCATCAGAGCCATCTCCAGTTGATACTTCTGGAGGGCCTGGTGCCCAGAGCCACGAACAGGGCCATGGACAGGGCCATGGACAGGGCTACTGAGCACTGAGTGGGTGTTAGCACTGCCCAACTGCAAGTGCTCTGAACTTGCTGAGGAGGAGTCTCTCTTCTTCTCTATCAACCATCTATTGAGTGTGAAGAGGGACTCATGTGGGATAAAGGTCTGGGGGCTGTGTGATTGCCCTAGCCAGCAGCAGGTGGTGGTGGGGGGCAAAGGGGAGAGTGAGACAAGGTCTCCTCTCTCACCCCAAGTCAGTCCACATGACAATAATTCTTCAGTGACATTGAGCCCGAGTTGAGTGATGAAACTGTTACACAAACAACTAGGGTAGCAAAACACAGGGGACAGTAACGTGGGAGGATGGGACACCTCAGACAGCTGTGGGTGAAGGAGGCAAGTGCTTTCTTTAGAGGATCACAAAGTAATTCAGGGTGGTAGGGGCCCAATCTCCTGCTCACAGCAAGGTCAGCTACGAAATTAGACCAGGTTGCTCAGGACTTTATCCAACCTGGTCTTGAAAACCTGCAAGGACAGAGACTGCAAAAGCAGTCTGGGCCCCTGTTCCACCTCCTGACTCTCCTCACAGTGTACAAGTTTTTCTTTATGACCAGCTTGAACCTCTTTTGTTTCAACTTATGCCTACTGTCACTTGTCCGCCCACCATGCACCACTGTGGTTTCCTTGGTACAGTCACGGCCACAGCGTACCCGCAGGACCCAGCTCCCCTTTGCTGAGCTCCAGTACCTCGGTGAGGCGGTAGCACTGCTCCGCTGTGCATTCCGCTTTACTTGTGGGGTTGCTTAGGGCAAACACGATGGGCCTCTCATTGAAGGCTGCCATGTCCTTCAAAATCTTCTCAGTGAAGGCTCCTGCAATGGCTGCGACACCTAAAACAACAACCGCAGAGTGAGATGGTGCTTTCCAACTGTCTGACTTCAGTGCATTGGGCTGATCCCTCTTGAATGCCGCTATCAGTAAATGAACTGTGGGATGGAACAGGCTTCATCTCTGGAGATGCAGGTGGGAATGTTTCTTTTTCATATTATGGCGAGATTAAAAGCCTGTCTCAAAATAAAGCCCTCTGCTCTTCTGAGCAGAGTGGGGATCAGTGTTTAGGCCAGTCTGGCTGTGGCACTTCGCCTCCCAAGGGCTCGGCACTTCTCCCAAAGACCTGCCCAAGCTGCCTGTTGTCATCCTTGTCCTGCCCAGTCTGCCAGGGCCACGTTCACTGCCGAGAGCCCCAGATCCTGCCTCCCGCAGCACCCCCCTCTGCAGCCCTGTCCGGGAGGGCTCCTACAGCTCCGCAAGAGAGGAAGCCTGTGCCCCACTGTCGAAGAGGAAAAGATGTCAACTGACAAAACGGGGGTAAAAAAGCTCATTTCATTTTGACTGGGAGAACAAAAGGAGGCCCTGGGAGAAAGACAGAAACTCTCCTAAGAACTGAATTGACGTGAAAAGGTCATGCTAAGGGAACTCCACCTATAATTGCTGTAGGCTTCACTTTCTGCACAACCTCTTCCAGTGTGTTCACACTGGGGTGGTCCTGGGCAAACATTTCTTTCTCATGGTTCAGGTGGCTCCTGCCCTGTGAGGAAAAAGAAGGAGTCAAACTTCTGTTGGCAAAAGGTGGAGACATAAAGTAGTAACTCATCAGTTCATTTAATCTCTTGGCCCTCTGCCTAAACCGGATTCCTCAAAGCAGGTCCTCAGCATCAGCCAGTCAGGCATTGAGCTGTTGGTGTAATGTCACGTGGGGCCAGTCGTTGCTCCTCTTGCCCTCCAAAATTCATTAATTGTGTGAAGGAAGGATCTGGCTGCCAGGGCAGAGAAATTGTACACGTAGCACAAGTCTCCTCAAGTCTGAGGAGGGACAAGGGCAGAGGTCCTGAGGGCCCAGGGAGTGCAGAGTAGAGCTGGGCCAGGCTGGATCACCAAGCAGGGCACGATCTTGCTGTTGTAATACCCCATATGACATGCAAGACTTCCAGCACTGCTTGAGACCGTGGCCAGCGCTGTATCCTACCACTTTAGAGGCCCAGCCCAGTGCATTGCCTTTAGGGCAGCCAGTGCTGCTGGTACACTGTTGTCACCACGAGACCTACTCCTCTGAAAGCAGGAACAGCTCTGCTGACACCAATAAAATTGCAGCCCTTACTCCAGGCATGAGCAAGAGTCCAAGGTATCTGCCTGCTTTGGCTTCTCTCTAGCTTGCAGGAGGCGGTGGGGGAGCGGACCTCAGCTCTGGAGACAAATTTACCTTCACAATCAGTCCCTTGGAGTCCACCATCCAAATTTTTTTGATGGCATTCTCTCGTGAAATTCCTTCCTTTTCCATGGCCATGAGGATGAGATGAGCTATGCCCATTGCAGCCTGGAACACATTATATAAACACTTCATTGGGGTATCAACAGCTTTTGGGGGTGAAGATTTTAAATGAGAGGTGTGTTGAGTCATCCCCCAGCACTGCACAAAGCAGGGAGCCTTTCTGCTCCATGGTTTTACAGTGCCATGGCATGGGGCTGATTTTAGCATTGTAGGTGCTGCCATAACTAAAAAAAAACCAAACAATCGTCCAGCAGAGCAGGCTGCCTGTGAGGCTGGAGCAGTGGAGGTGGTACCTTGAGAGGCAGAGGCTGTCTCCATCATTTAAACCAGTTGCTGCAAGGGAGGAAAAGGGACAGACACTGAACAAACATTGGTGACGATGCCAGTACAGAGGAACTCAAAGCAGAGTGGGATTGCTGCATCTGAATTACTGCCAAGAGGAAAGTCCTCTTCTCCCGTTCCTGCCTGAGGAAGCAGCCCTGGACATGCTGTGTGTGCTAGTGGTCCTACAGTGGTGCCCAGCCCTCCTGCCCTGATGGGGACTAACAAAGCAGGATGGTTTCTGTGCCACGGGGACGGTGACCAGCACAGACATGTCCATCAGGAGGGGTGGAGAAAGAGAAGAAGCAATCTTTGCTTCACAGAGGGATAGACAAACAGTGAGTAACAGACTTTGCCCAAGTCCCACAGGTGGGCAAGAGCTGAGCCAGGACCTGGACCAATGCCTTTAGTCCACAGTCCAGGCTTTAGAGACTTTTTCTTCCTCCTCTCTCTTTGAGCAAGGTACCTTACAGACTACCTGACTTCTGCCATGGGGGCAATATGGCTGACTCCAAAAAGTGAGGTTATGTTCTTACAGTTCTTTGAGTCCGAGTCCTTTTGACTCTATTGCTAAAGAGTCTCTGGTTTACCCTAAATACCAACCCTGAGGACTCAAACCAGCCTCCTTAATGTTCCTGCAGCACCCTGCCTCATAAGGGACTTCCCTCAAGGTACTGAAAGCTCCACTGACACATGGGAAGCCTTGTAGCATCTAGGAAGTCTGCCCAGGACTCATGGGCCAAGAGGTCACTGAAAGATTGTTGGCAACTTCTACGCAGCAGCAAGATCCACCTGTGGGGCCCACTCCTGCCCAGTGACAAGGAACCTGCTTCTTTGTTTTCATGAAGCCAAGCCTTGTAGGAAGTTTCACGGTTGACTTTTCTCTGTCTAAATTTGAATTTAGATCGTATTTGGGAACAAACTCAAGAACATTCCTACCTCTCCAGCCCCCTGGAAAACAAACTTATGGTCAGAGAGCTTGTTCTTTGTGATCCTTAAGGCTGCAAAGATGCCAGCGACTGCAACAGACGCAGTGCCTGAAAAGAGAAAAACACCATGAGATGGTCATCCTGGCAAATGGATTGTCTACCCTACTGATATGCTGTTAGAAACCTTGTAGTAGGAACCATTCTCTTAGATCCTGTCATTAAAGAATCAGAGTGCCTTCGCTACTCTGAAATATTAATCCTCAGAAGACCCCTGCAAGGCAGGAGAACACCAATTTCCCTTTATATAGACTTAAAGGGATACTGAGTCCCAGAATGCCAGAAGTTAATACCTGAATCCCAAGGATTTAAGGTGCATGTGACTTGTTTAAGGTCACATAAGACACCCGCAGCAGAGTGGTGGTCTAAACTTGGGCACCCTTGTCACAAAATCCTCTGTGATCGTGGAATTACCATCCTCTTCTCCTCACTTACCTTCACAGCCCAGCACCACCTTCTCTTTTTTTACTTCCCTGATACTCTGATGCCCTGACTCAGAACCATCATGCCTCACTGCCAAGCGTTAAGGAGTTGTTGAGAACATGAGCTGGTCCCAGATTAGTGAGAAATAATCCAGTATATGGAGAGCAGGGTCCTGCTGTTATAGCCACCACGATATGTACAGCTTTCCATCCATGAAGGGAGGCAGATGCCTAGACTGAATAAACCTGCCTTCCCCTCACACCAGTCACATGCAGTATTAATCTAATGTCCTAACCCAGGTGAAGGAACAGGGTGGAAAGAAATTGAGTAAGGCACAGACTAGTGAGGATTCAGGTGGTATCTCAGGTCACCTGGGCAAGCTGGATACAAGTGCTAAAGGTGAGCTAGGAATGAAGGAGGCAGTTTTATTCCTCAACCTTTCAAAGGATGCCAGTTCGGATATGCCCCCAGGTCTGATGCTGTCCCCAGCTCTAACGCTGGTGTCTCCATTCTCATCTTCAGAAGCTTTGGGAGAAATCAGGGAGGCCACAAGTAACAAGAATTGTGTGGGTGGTCACGGGTGGGACAGACAACGAACACTTTTAGGCTAATAAACCTGATTTCACCAAATTTCCAGCATTTCCTATTTTCCTGCCCATTTAATCAGCCAGTGCATTGGGGTTTCAATCAGCCAGTGCTTCAGTGAGACCCCTCGCAGGGCCCTAGGCCCTGCGGTGCTGCCGGGCATCAGCGAACAGCCCGGCTGGGAAACAGCAGCTCATGAGCAAAGCATGACCAGGAGCAGTGAAACCAGCAGATGGTGCTGCCTCATCTGTCAAGGACCAAGAAAATAAACTCAGCTTTACCTGCTCCTTGTCTTTAGTGCAAAAGCCACAGCTAAACTAGAAATCTACTGGCATCGGGGAATGATTTACTCTCTCATTATTTCCATGCAAGCAGAAAACCTAGTGGCAGCACAGTTACTCTGGCAGAGAAGTAACTTTTATTGACATGGCTTATTTTGCTTAGGGAACCTATATGAGCTACTCTGACAAAATCTTTATTGGCCAGACCAGAAGTGTTTATCAGTACCATTAGCTCACCAACATTTTGCTTTTATAACTCAGATGAGTTTAGTTCTCCAAAAATGAGTAATTAGTGCCACTTAACAGTGATTCTGGTTTAGCAGAGGTGGCAGCGGCCACATGCCTGCAGCAAACATTAGTGCCGTGCTGCCCATGCACAGGCACAACGGTACAGAATGGTAGCAGCATCATTTCTTACTCACGAGGGCACTGCAAGCATCCGTGTCTTAAACACAAAGTGAACTAGACTAACAGTTGGTGGCTTCTTAAACTTTCTTGCAAAGAATCACTTGAGACACTCGCTTCAGCACCAAGGATGAATTCCCTTCACTAGCTCAGAAAACAGTTTGCATCAGTTTATTTCCAGACCCAGACCATCTGAGTTCAGTTAGTTTAAAAGGGAGTTGATGGGGAGGGAACCAGCCACTGAGTGCTCTGCTGCTTCAGTATTAACATGTCAACTCAGACAACTGAAGGATGTATATGAAGGATTTCCTCTTGCTTCTCCTGCACTAAATCTCTACCTTTTTAAACTGTATTTAGAGTAATGTATTTACCTGGCGAAATGCCATGCCATTGGACTAGAAAAATTACAGAGGAAGATAATGAATGTCCAAGGAATTTAAAAGAACACCAGATAATTGCCTAGTTTTCAGATTTTGCTTTTTATGGGTGTCACATAGCTAACCCACACTCATTCTCCCTATTTCAGTAAGTCTATAATCAGCAGGACTGCTTGGCTCACTGCCATGCCAGATGCTAAGGATGGGACTCCTCTAAACAAACATGTATGATCCTGCACAGGCTAAAGCAGACACCTGAACTCGGTCAAATGAAATGCACTCTAAAAGTGTCACTACCACTACAGTTTTTTAAGAGACACAAGATAACTGGAATAAATGTAGACACTTTTATTGCAGACATCTGAAGTTTGGAGGAAGGGATCCCACCCTGGCAGACCCTGGCAGTCTGAACTGCAAACAAGTGGGGAGAGACGACCAGGGTCCCACAGTTGTCAGCAATGTCAAGCTTGTGACATGCAGTAGAATATGAACACCTACGCATATGCTCACACATGCTCACAGGCTATCTCCCAGGCTTACTTTGCACAGAAATCCCCAAATACCCATGTGGGTGGGAGTGGGGAACTGATCAGAGGAAAAAATCCAAAGTGGAACAATTACAGTGCGACAGTGTGTCGGGTCACAGCATTAGCAGCAATAGATGCCTGGAAAGTATTTAAAAGAAAGAAATGTAGCTGGAGAAATATCTTGTTTCTCTTGGTCCAGGCAAAATTGCTTTATACCCTATGATTGTCAAGAAGTCTGATGGGACAAGTGCAGGTATCTGCACACCCATTTAAATAGAAAATGCTCGTGGGACATTCAGCAGAGGGACTCGAGGTCCTTTTAAAGATGTTACTAGTAGGAATTTGAGAAGTGGGTCGTACATAAAGAAAGGGTGCATGGATTCAGCCTGCAGAGCAGCGTGCATTTTGCAGAGCGGAGGCCTGTGGGACTGGGTGTGCCGTTACTCATCCCCTTGCACTTGCACTGCAGCTCTGACTAACAGCAGGACTCTGTTCAGCTCTGCCATTCCTAATCCTCCTCCTCTCTCTCCAATGTGTTTCTAATCCCTCCACATCTCCCAAACTGCATCTCACCCCCATTACTCAAGTAACAAAATTACTGTACCTTGGCCTCAGCTCAATATTTTTCTTTGATAATTACAATTTCTGAGCATGGAACAATAGAGCATCTCTATGGAGGAGAGTTCACAGCTGGTTTGTATAAGGAATTGGCTAATCATTGTGCTTCAATTCCAAAAAGACCACAAAATGAGATGGGGGATGGGGAACCCCTCACCATGAGTTGTGGCAAGAAAAAAACAATCACCCTTCAACATGTTGATCTGTTTTTCAAAAAGATTGAATGCTGCTATTGCAGATAACTACTTCCTTAAGTAATTAGCAAGAGCCAGCTTGGCTGGTCTGTATCTGAGGTGAGATATGGAGGGGCACAGAGAGAAGAAAGCAAAATGCTTGCAAAGCATTCGGTCCATCCAAGACTCAAAGTGAAGGCTCAACATAGTATCACAAAATAGCAAGCAGACCTCAAGAGCTTCTCTGGGGAGTCCAGACCAACAGGACCAGCAAAGAAAAGAGGCATTTAAAACTAAGGTACACTCAGGCCATTCCTGAAGGAATTAATCTCTGACACTCAGGCACATTCAGAATACTGTAAAACATCAAGGAAACCCCCTCTGAGGCTGATTTTCCACTTGCACTAGTGTAAGTCAGAACGAGCCCCAATAGATGTCAGTGGAGCTACACTGGAGCAGAACCAGGGGAAAAGGATCTGCTCCACAGCTTCAAGACACTGCACAGATGGAAAAGGCTGCAGCCCAGAGACACCAATGCCCGGGGACCTTATCCTCCCTTCAGAGCAGGGAAAGCGGCGAGAGTGGCAAATGGCTTCGCACACGGAGTTACGGGCAGTGATGGCATGTGTGCAACAGGGAAAGCGCTGCCCAGCGCTGATGTCAAGGCTGTACCGCGTGTGACAGCACCCAGTGGCTAAGCAGGGGACATGGGCAAAAGCGGGGACCCTGCGGATGCTTGGGGGCAGCAGTCCCCCCATGCCAAGGGCTGGTGCTGCCCTGTCACCTGGCCCAGGCGCCGGCTGAGCAGAGCAGAGCATCACCACCATGCCGAATCCTTCCGATAGCAGCAGCGGTGGGAGCACGCAGCCACACCACTGCCTCTTTCTTTATACAATGCCTGTGTGGGTGATTCCCTCTTCTCCACAGTACACTCGTGGGAGAGATGGCCAAATTCAGCCTGATTTTTTAATTTTTACCCTTGCCCTGCCTGCTTACACTTTGTCCCATCAAAACTATGCCAAGATGAGGGCCCCGGGAACAGCAAACACCAGTTTAACAGCTCCAGCAAAGGGCAGCCAAGAAAATATATCTGAATTTATGGATGCAGGGGAAGCATAGGGCTTTTCCAAATCCTGGTTCACATTAACTCCCTGCAGCAGTTCCGCCTGTTACTGGAAAGCAGAGTGGAGCCTGTCCAGATCCACTCCAAATACATAAGCAAAAGTCAAACACGACAAAGCTGAAGCAAAAAGCTGCCGAAGTTTTTGCAGCTCGAGGTCTTCACCTCCATTGCTGCGGGCAATTGTTATCCTTCCCCCAAAGGACCTCTGTAAGACATCAAGAAAATAAACCTAGAAATGGTGTGGAGCAATTCAATGAGAACAGCAGTAAAACGCAAAGCATCGATGCTCAGGGAAGGAACTCGCTTTCTCCACTAAGAGATTTAGGGACACTGGTGACCCAGAAGCGGCGGTGGTATGGTGAAGAGCTGTCTGACAATGGAGATGCAGAGCTCATCTTAAAGTAGATGCATAATGTAGGTCATCTCTAGGTGCCTATTTTTAATCCTTTCACTGTAAAGTGCTTGGACTATACAGTGCAGCACCTTAAAAATACGTCGCAGCGCTGGCCTGCAGCACTGCCCTCATTCCTGCCTGCGCA